ATTGTTCATTGATGTTGTTCGTACTGTAAATTAAGTTCATGCAAATAATGGTTACAAAAGCTATTGTCCGAGTTCGTCGATTGTCACTTGTCTCACGTCGAGCGTGGTCACCGAATGGAACGGCGGCAGTCATTGCTCAGCGAACATTTCCATACTGTAAGTAGGAACACGCTCTAGTTTGCACGAATGAAACATGAAATACTACACACTTTATTAAATTCAGTTCTCGCTCATAAACCGACATAATTATGAACAATTCGGTTCGTATCAATAGCCACGAATAAAAAATCAATTTGGAAATGAATAACCCGCGATACAGGAACTGAAGCTGCAATACATACATAGCCGTGGGATTACTGCAAACAAATTCGAAATGAATCTGAATGAAACTGATTTGTAAGGGAATTGCGATGTTAATGCAAATGACTGAATGACCATTGGCTTCGTAATTAATAGCCGGTCGGAAACGCAATAATATTTTATTAAGCGTTCTCTTTGATTAAGTCGCCCGAGGGAGCACTCGGCCATAAGGCATTATAAGAAATATATACTATGTTTGACGAGACCGCAATGTACGCACGTGCTGCCACTCGAATTAATTATCATGAAACAAATTGATACTTATTCACAGCTTTTGTAATGAATTCCAAACTGAGTTGAGAATAATTTCAGACCCTTTCGCTTCGCTTCAATAACTTAGATAAAGATGTATTGTTAGGTATCGGAAGGAGCCGTCAAGTTTGATCATTTCTGTCCTGCGTGGGTGATTCGTCAGTTATTCTTCAGATTCCAAGAGCTTTATCGAAAGTGATCATCTTTAGAGTCCGGGGAGATTTGTCCCGACCTATAAACATATCGAATCCGGGGTACTGTGAGCGCGATGTAATGTTTCCTATTTATTTTCCGAGACTTTAGAGGTCCCGAACTCCCGACCCGCAGTTTTATGAGGTTATTTGCCAACAATAAGTGTGAAACAACCCTCCATGTTGGCCCAGTATAATATAAACCGACGTGTTACATCAATCAACGTTATTGGATTACTAAACTAGTTAATAATATGAAGGCAATATTTACTAGTCGACTTTATAAGGCAAAGTCAACACGACGAGGGTTCTGCTTCATTCAAATATTCATAGCAGTCTCCGTTTGTAGTTATGGCACCCTAAACACATTGTAATAGGTACCAAAATAGCTGTGTACATAGTGCATGTTCTGGAAACAATGTCTTTGGTTTAGTTGGTATATTGACCACGGCAGGCCCCGGTCCCCCGGCGGTGATGTGCGGCCGCCATGTTGGATTGTTTGCAAGAGTTACGTGTGCCTTTACATACCACTTCTAATGAGCGGTACACTGACGTGTGCCGAGGGGTAGGCCATCACCGAACGACCACTGACTTAATGCGTAAGTTGCAAGCTAACTAAGAGCTTGTATGAGGATTGACATCATATTAATCTCTTGTTTGTTATCCGTTCGGACCGTTTGGTCCGAAAATACATTGTTTATGACGACTCATTAAGACTTTTTAATCGAAAGTGATCCACTTTTAGACGGACACTGATTCCAATCAGATTTTCTGCAGTAATAGTAGTTGAGCTGAGGCATACATATTCATATTCATTTATTTGCTTATTATAAAGTGAATACGGTGTTACAATAGGCTTAAAGCTAAGTAAATTTATGGACCATGTAAGGGCGTAGCAATATTTGTTAGAATTAACCTTTTTTTTTAAAGGAATCATCCAAAACGAATACATTTTTATAATCCAATACCTAATTAAATACACCTAACATATTGAAGTAGAACAAAATAAAATAAGGTATACAGTGACGAGCGCGGCGGGGCGGGCGGCGCGGGCGGCGCGGGCGGCGCGCTTTATCCACGGGGATGGAATAGTTGAACAACTCGTAAGCAGCCTCACTGGTCTGACGGTCACTAGAGACTCTGTAGTACTATCAATCTGATATTGTTCGTACCTCTGCGCTTTCAGTAATTCGAGAATTTTCTGGAAATCGGCTGTCGAAATAGAAACATTATTTGATTGAGAAATATATTTTGTACGTCGTCTTTTAACGTAATAAATTGGTCCCGACCAAATATTGCCACGCTTGAATAAGATCAGAGCAACAAAGGGCTCGTATATTATTGTTCATAGCTACGGTAGGTATCGTAATAAATCACGTGGTACATTATAAAGATAAGCAGGAGTATGGGATCCGAAGCCGTCGAGGCACATCAAATATTCCGACGAGGGTAAGAGCTGCAGCACACGTGGCGCGCCATCGTGGCTCAGTGGCACAACTGCTCTACATCGCTACCACACTAACTTTGTGTGACTAAGGTCCAAAATAGTAATGCGAGGTAACTAACTACAAATTAGAATTAGACAAAAGTGATCCTATAAGTAACATAAATAATTCTATACCCACGTCTCTTAGTACTTACCCAACAATTTTTACAATAATAATAATTTAACTTGCTTTATAAACAGTTGTTGAAAACTGATGTGTAAGAATTACAGGGAACTAGTTACAGATATCCTACTTGTTGTGTTTCAGATATAAGGATCCCAAGTAACACCTTGCTACGTGCGAACATAACGTAATTCAATAAATCGTGTATCACGTCGCGAAGCAGAGTGGCGACATGACAACACAAATGTGACATTGTTGGCACCTCGCTAAACACAACATGAACACATCACCCCACTTAGGGAGCAACCATCGAGTACCCTTGTCAGCAGGCGACGTGACGTCACGTCAGAGATAACGTGACGACGATATCCACGTCAATACAGACACAATGCGAACTAAATCTGCGCTCACTGTGTCACTGGCTTTCTTTTAATAAGCTCTCGAGGTAGCCCCTGGAGCTTTATCGTAGACCGACAGACATGAGCTCAGTGCTGGGGTGCGATGCGACACTGGACATTGTCAACACAATATTTTTAATGTGTCCGTTTACTAATATATTTAAAAGAATTCGAGAAATAATAAACGATGTATGTACATCTGAAGCGAGCAGTTGATGATGTACTTGACTTCCATTGAACGGGATGTGGACAGCAGACACTTGGGATCGAGCCGCGTGCTGGTGTAGTACAGTGCCAATGAATACAACACAAAGTAAAGTACTTTTAGTGCATATTATCTTTTCCTACATTTTGTATTACTCAGGTCGGATCACGTCGGCCCGTATCTGATATACTGAAGCTATCTATACAGCTCGCGATGTGATGATACGCATGCACCGCCATGTACCCTTTACTATCAGCCACATGCCCTATTCGGATTAACAATACCTACGTTGACAATAAACGAAGCTGATTTACACGATTGTAATGATAACAAGCTTACAATGATGTGTCACACTGCCGACGTACAAACTTACAGAATTACTGAACGAAATGGACCAATAAGTCGTTACGTACAAAGTAACGCGGCCACAGACAGCCGCGTGTAACAGTCGCGTTTGTAGAGAAACCACTTATCGCAAATACCTACCCACGTAGAAAAAGTCGACGACGACGTTACGACCGCTATTTATGTCAAAGGCTTTCACTGAATAATCCGACAAAGATGTAAAAACATTGGCCCGCAGCTGTCCGCACGACCCGCGCGCCGCGGTGCAAGACGGCGCCGGTGGACATCTTCGCTCATTGTTTTTACAAGGAAAGAATAGCGAAGAGTTTCCATCTCACGTGTTTCCATGTGCGGACTGAGGATAATATTGTTACTGTTTGCTTAGGTCTCGAGATATGTCAGGAAAAACTTACCTTCACTCTCTGCGATAGATTGGATGCCTAGCTGAATGTTACTTTTACGTACAATTTTCAATCTTGCTTCGAATATTATTATAATAATCTTTTTCGATTCCCTTTGATTGTGTCTGTTCGTCCCGAAAAGGGATCAAGTCCAAGAATATTAATCTTATCAACAATGCTACGTAAAAAGGTCATGTTAATACATTATGCGCAAGTATTGGAACTACGTCATAATTCTACAAGAACGGGCCAATCGATGAAGAAAACCAATCTCATATCGATAACAACGGGCTTTCCAACAAGCCGATACAATTTACTAAAGCCCCACTTAACGTAATTAGCAATCCGTCAGCCGCTGCCGCTATCAGAGAGCCACTCTATCATATAAATATTGCAATCTACGGATGCGTGCAGTCCTCTATAACGACTTCCTTCCGACTCGAGAAGTAAGTGCAGGAAAACACTTACAATTCGTTTTTACGACTATAAGGAGGACAATAATGGTAAAAGCTGTCAGCTCTGAGGTCCAATTGAACGCATTTCCAAGTTTTTACGCACATCCCGAGCTGTAACCGGATCGGGATCCGGAAAACGGACCGAATCTACGAAATTTGTGAACGATCGACGTGTCCCGTCGCGGCGCGCCGTCGCTCCCAAACGGACGGTTTTCAATTAAGCGAGGATAAAGAGGCCGATTTTCTGACGTGATTCCGAGCTCTGTTATATTTAATGAAATATTTTCAAAGATACATACAATAAAAATATTGGATTCGTTTCACCGAAACGTTTGTTGTAATTGTTTCAACAAACCAAGTCCATTGTTATGTACCGCTGAGTCTTCTTTGCTTTAGAAGTGAAATCAGTGGACCGCCCCAGGACACGAAACATAACAAGGCGCAATTACTTCAAACATTACGTACATTTATTACATCAACAGCGACTCCCACGCAGCCGACTGTTTCAGCTTTAATGTCGTTGTATTATAGCGCCGAAACTTTCATAATTATAATTCTTTGAAGTCACTTACGATACGTCGCGCGGATATTGTTTCGACACAGATCGTCATTACTTCGCACGTTTATTGTAGACGCCGACACGCGTAAACAAGTTCCACGAAGACACGGTCTTACAACGTGTTTTGTAACATGTTGGGTGTTCCGTGTCGGTGGGTGCTGCGGCACTGGTCGCGAGTGCTCTCTCGGTACGAGTATGGTACAATACAAAGTTCAGGTACTTACAGCAGTGGGGCTTCTCTTGGTCTTGCTGGATGAGAAGTGTTCGATCACTTCCCAGTTGGATTTCTTGGGTGCTGGAGTGTCAGCGGGCGAGGGCGAAGCTCGGTGCGCGGCAGAGGGAGTGCTGCGCCCAGACTCCTCCTGCCCGCGCGCCGGCGTCGCCGCAGAACGCAGTGATGCGCATCTGCGCCCGCGCAGCGCCTCCTGAGTGACAAAATATTGATTAGTTCACAATGCATTATTAAAATGGTTTGGTTTGGTTCTCTAGGACGATTAAGTTGAAATGCAATACCTGAATCTGCATGTTCAGCAAATAAATTTAAAATTACTTCCTTACTATGAAATAATGAAACTCGACTGAAACTTTTTAATAGCCTCTTGTTAATAACAGAATTATTCTTCATAGGTTCCTGTAGACAAAACTTTTAAGACTCGAACTTGTAACTCTAGATTGTCTTTTAATTGTTAGATGAACATGTTCTTGCTATTTCTTGCATTGTAAAGTATGTCGGTTGTGATTTGTTGTAATTGCAGTTTACGAGTTATTGCCAACGTTAGTTACTGTCACAACAGGTGCAGTCTGGTGCCAGAGACAGAGTTGTTAAGTTTTAATCGTCATGTGTGAGTTACGTGCAATGCTAACTTCACTGCACAGACTATTATAACTTTGTATTGTTATTGCGACTAGCAGAAATTACTTAAAATACTTATTAAATATACGAGCACAACTCGGTGATATAAATAATTATTTTGCCTAGATGCCATTGACAAATGAATATAAGTTACATTGGTGCAGTGACGACACCGGACCCCAGTCCCAGTCGGCAACACTGCAAACATGAAAGTTTGTGCACTAAGTTGGAGCGCTGGCGCTGGTAGTGGAGTATGCTTCAGGTGGAACCAAACTAACAACTTTACGTCACTAGATACGAGATTTTTGAAACTATTTATTGTTTCAAAGGAAAACTTGTTGTGTGGAACATCGAACAAGTTTGTCGGAAACTTATCGTTTATTGAATGGCTTCGGATGTTACGATCACTTTTAAATTGTAATATTTGAACGCGACCTCCAGCCACTATTGTATGTCGACAATATGGCCGGGCATCCGGGCATCGATCCATCAACGTTATTTTATTCGTCCCCTTCAATTGAACACATTAAACTGCGCTATATATTTCCATCAGGTGCTGAGTGCTTGTGGAAAACTATGGTGTTCACGAATCCATTACTGGCTGCATTATGTGGTGTACGCTGTACCTAGCGCGGGTGCACATTAACGGGAAGATGGCGGATATCCAGCAGATACGGATCTTGCGGGTCATAAAATGTAATGCTACGAGTGTGTGCTCCCGCCTTTGGTTTGCATGCTAAGCAGTGGCTGGAGAATACGGACGTAAGTGTTTACTGAACTGCTGTACTTAGTTACGATTACTTTTATGAGTTAGAGATTACGCCATTGCTGTATAATTTGATTTATATGAAAATCAGCGCTTTGAGGCAATGTTTGAATCGTAATCCTGGTACGGGAGAACTTTCTGAATAGGTTAGAAATATGTTTACGCGAATATTTTCATAAGAGGGGCGTGTGGAGTGTGTTGGTGGTGAGTGGGGGGGGGAGGGCAGGGTGTTGCTCAGATTGACTGGTGCTCGTGATAGATGACGCGATCACTCAACGTCAACACAATTAAACAATGTTTCGCGTTCGTTACAACCGCAACGCTTTTTACTTTCTTTGCGAAATACAAGTTGACGATGATTATATCGGACGTAACCTAACGCGAATATGTTAGTCAAGCCGTGCACTCTGCATTCATATGTAGGTATCTATGAAGATTTCATGGGGAAAAGTGGTGTGGTACTCATTTGTAGAAATTAAAATTGAAACATTAAAGAAGGAATGAAATATAATATACTCGTAGCAACACAACAAACTTAGCAGATAGTGTACCACGTATGTTACATAAACTAATACAAAGTGGTAAAGTGGTGAATCTCGGAAAATTACACTAATAACTAGGAGACTTACAGCCGTAAGCCGCGGAGTTACGGCTTAAGCCGAGTCGTGCGTGACGCGCCGGTAGACGCAGTGACACTGTGACGCGGTGGCGCGTCACTCGTCACTGCTAACCATGGAATATTAAAAACTAAGTCGTAACACTATCTAAACTAGTGCGGCAGCTGGCTATCTAGATAGAAAAATAATTCAAACTATTTCAGCATAAACACTATGGGCTGCCTTCATGAAATATACATTATTTAAATATCATTTTCAGAGGGTTTCATCTAAATTTGAATGATTTCGCGTCAATCATTCTCAGAAATATAAAATCGCTTTTCAAACTCTTTCGCAGTAATATTATAATATTTAAAGGTTGGAATTTAAATGTAGATATTATCACCGAGAATATTACATTTGATAGAAAATCGAATCGCTATCGAAGGCGAGCGACCGCCGCCATCGCCCGCTACACGATGACGGTCGAATGCTTCAATTATTCAAATTTTTTAAACATCTTTTTTATTTTTAGAATGGAATTGAAATAAAAATGTATAATTTGATAACAAAACCGTCGCGGTTCTGTTAATTAGTGAAAACTGTTTATCGTGAGTTCCAATACTCGTTTGATTGAACGCTTCAGTTTCTCTTTCATACAAAAATATCTCTTGCTTTTAAAAACGTAAATATTATGTTTTCTCTGCGTGCGAAACATGTTCGTGTACATGTTAGTGTAATGAGTAAAGTTGAATGAAAGAAAAATAGTGTAGTGCGCCGGCTAGGGGACGCTCGCAGTTGTTATTGCACGAGTAACTGTTGCCCGCGGAGGTGTATGAGGTATAATATATCGTAATACTGGCAGTCGCCCAGACCCTGAGTACGTGTATAAAGTACACACGGGAGAACATTACGGATGGGAACCTATAAATAACGCGTGGTCGTTGTAGTGCATAGAGTCGCGACCTCGAGTCGATAACAATATGCAAACTGAACCATTGTGTAAATGTTACTTATGTTTCGTTATGTATATGTCCAAACGCTTGCCTACTTGAATATATGATCCAAAGTTCAAATAATATTATACTTTGCTCAATCTGAGAATCGGATCTGTTCGATTCTTTGACCGGTCGATCTTGAGCGGTGTTCGCAACCAGTCAACCAACGAGGTAGCAGTGTCGGTATAGACTAGTCACCTATAAGTAAATGTACAAAAACATTATTTGCTTTTAATCTGCACAGTCATCTTACTTCTGCAGATAAAGAAATCTTTCAGTAGGACGTGGTAGCATACTTGTGAAGTTTCCGAAGTATTTTATAGAAATGAAGTTGAAGTAAGTTCACGAACAACTGATAACTACTTACTACAGTTTGAGGCGTGGGATTGATGACACACATCACATATGTGCGATCTTATCAATGTGTGTGGGTACTTCACGTAAGTGTTAGTATTATATATTATTACATTGTATCGAAAAAATCTGCAGCCAATCTATTATGAAAGGTGGTTAACAGAGAAAGGTGACAAATTTATTTGATTTTCTATCGAAAACGTATAATTAGCTATATTAAGATCGAACATCAGCACACTGGTCGTATCAATCAAATATATACATACTGAGATAGACCCAGCCGGTACTGGGCGGTAATACGAAGCAGGATTTAATCGCAGGTAATAAACAGGTAATGAATTGGTGGCATGATAGCTCGCTGGCCGACCGATGCACGCGCTGATCTCATTATGACATGTGCTCGCTCGCCCGGAAACTAATTCACTTGGGCGTGCGATCTGTGACCGAAAAATTACGGGATTTCGTAGATACCCTTAATTGTGTTATATCCGATTCCTGATACTCGTATCCAGCCAGAAACTTGCGCTTCAGTTGTCCAATACAGCTACCATCGTACGATTTTCTCCGAAAACATTTTAGAGGCAATTTATTGTGATTTTATTAACTCGGTGTACATTTACCACTATTTAATAACCTCAGGGTATATTCTTTTTTTTACACATGTTGCCCCACATTCGGATTTTCTCCTGTGTCGTGGGTACGCTTACAAACATACAAGTTCACATACACATGACACCCAGACCCGAAACAACAATTAGTGGATCACACAAAGTGTTGTCCCGTGCGGGAATCGAACCCGCGACACGTTGCACGGCTGCCGGTTGCCCAGCCACCGCACCAACCGTGCATGGTGCAGTCAATATATATTATATTAAACCCTAAACTGAAATGGGTTGTGAACTGTTTAGACAATGTGTTGAATGAAGCATGTAACCCACGAGCTTTGTGTTTACTTTTGTTCATTTCTCAAAGATTGCGGCTAAGAATGAAGACAATAGGTAAATCTCCGGTAATTTGATTTCCGCTAATAGACGGCAGAATTGCTTACGTCGGCTAATTGAACACGTCCGTTTTCATTGGTTATTTGAGGAAAGAGGTCTTTCGCAGTATGACGGCACTCTCAGAGTGACCGGCCAATTGAATTGGCCAGGATCAAGTTTACCAGATTAACTTGTTGCGACGCTAAAGATTTCTGATTAACTGATGCCTAACTGATCCTACTATAAGTAGCGGTACATACATTCAGAAGCTCGCGAATGTTTTGTTGTGTAAGTTACTGTTTGATCGGGTTTATGACAGCAAAGTCGTTTGATGTTTCGATTATATACGTAGAATTGGATGTTTATTATTTAGTGGTTAATGTCGCGGTGACGACACCAGAGTGGACTACTGCCGCTAACATAAACATAGAGAAAATGAACGAAATAAAAGACCAATCTTTAGCTGAAATATTTAAGAATAATCCAAGAAAAGAAACAAATTTTGGATGAGGCAAAACATTTGTAATTAACTTGAATCTTAATTTGATGCGTTGACTCGACTTGATAACTTGTAAACTCACTAAATAAAAATGAAATTGTACGACATTACCCCCATTCCAAGTTCTTACGCGGCGAGGTGAGCAGCAAACTTTTGAATTACAGCCCCTAACGGTACAGTTTGACATCACGTTGACTCTTTGCCTCTCAGTTGAAAGAAAATGACTTCCGTCCCCAGTAAATTAATTAATTAATGAATTGAAAGGTTTCCCTAATCAAATTTAGATTATTGCCAGAATGTTTGACGGGAAAGTCGAAGAAACTTTGACTGCGAACGACACCGGTCCTGCAGTACTAGTTCTACGGGCAATGAGGCTGCA